TTATATTTTTGATTTTAGTTTTAACTTAAGTAAAAAAAAAACAACAACACCGATGTATACAAATGTACATATTTTAGAAAATAAATTAGTAGAATCATTAAAAAAAGTTTTAGATGAAAGCATGTCACATTATAAACGAGGGGTCTGTGTACAGATGTGTAAAATGTAGTAATTTCTTTTAAAATATTGTATATTTCAAAATGTATTTATAATGTGACTAATTGAATCATGATTTACTATATATGTGTGTGTGTGTGTGTGTGTGTGTGTGTGTGTGTGTGTGTATGTATGTATAGATTTTTTTAAGAAACAACCTCTTATATTAACGTTTTTGTTGTTTGTTTTGGTTGCATCTATAGAGTGTAAAAAATCTTAAATCAAGTGTACAGGTTTACAGGGTTCCTGAAGTGGCTGAGAATCTATAGTGGAAGGTCACTGGATTTTGAAAAAGTTGACAAAGAAGTCATCTGAGTAAAATCTATACGGTCTAAATAGTTTTTCATCCCTATCTGTGTTGATGCTGTGTCCATCCAGGTCCTCATATGTTGGTGGTGTGTCTCTAAACGGGATGAGAGTCTCCCACACGAACACATGCCGCTTATTCTTTCCCAGTCCCCTCACGAGTCGCCACCTGCTCCTGAGCGTACGGCACAGCTGCTGACCAACAACAACAAATGAACACCCACCATCCTTACTGACACAAACCCAAAAGATGCTCTTCCTCGTTCCTGCTCCAGTCACACTTAAAATGCCATTGCAATAGAAAACAATATAAAAGCAAGTCATTTATAGTAAATAAATATGCACAAACACACTTAAAAAATAACATTTGTACCAGTGTTATTTTAGTATCATTGTAGCTCTAATTAATATTTAGATTTTTTTATTTTCTGTTTTCATTTTAATTTTAGATAAAGTTTTCATATATGTTTTTGTGTTTTTGTCATTTTTTTTTTTTATATGTATATAGTTTTTATTATTTTTATTTCAGTTTTTGTTATTTTAATACTTCATGTTAAGACTACAAGAAAATGAGAAATAATACCTTGCCATCTAGCTGAAATAAAATAAGTTTATTTTTTTAGTTTTCATTTATTTCAGTTGACGTTTATTTTATTTAAAGCAACAATTTTTAGGTTTAGTTTTAATTAATTTTTACAAACACACACACATATAGTTCTAATACAGCAATTTGAAAACATAAATATAGTAACAAAAACAAATTCAATGATATATAGTTTGAAAAATATTGGAGAATCAAATAAATACTATACTAGTAAATACTAATGATATAATCATATTTTCAATTTTTTTATTTTATTAATGATTTTTTTTAAGTTTATTATTTTTTGTGTATTTATGTACACAATTATTTATTTATTGTTTGTTTGTTTTAATTTTGGTTTTATTTCATGATAATAATCCTGGTTTGTACGGTTTGAAATGTTAAAATAATAGATGCTGAACTTGAAGACAGCCAGTAATGTGTTTGTTTGTGAATCATGTTAATGTGATTCTTTAAGCCTGTGTGAATTTGAGAAGAACTGACCACCAAAAATCGTTAAAACACCAGCTGATACGTGATGTTAGTAAAGAGAAAAGATTCAAACTGAGCAGATCCAGACAGACGGAGTAATAAGCACGTGGCCTATGAATACATCATATATGTGACCCAGCAGGCCTTTGTGATGATAATTTGTAATGGGCAAATGAAGCAGCGTGCATTACGTCAACAAAGACAGAAATGCGTTAGTCTGAATAGCAGAAGTCACTCTGCTGATGTGACTCGTGCCAGTGTGTGTGTGTGTGTGTGTGTGTGTGTGTGTGTTTGACAGCTGGGCTTGTGTCTCTGAGTGTGTGTGTCTTTGTCACTGGTCTATTTAGTGCATTATCAGGTCTTTCACAATGCAACAGCTTGAGAATGACCAAGCGACACACACACACACACACGTCTGCCCCCTCAGCTCTTGCACTCCGGCAGTTCTGCTCCTGTGCGTGTGATTGTGTACCTGCTGTTCTTCTGAGGTCCACGCAAAAGGCCGGGGTCAGAAAGGTCAGCAGGCAGACGCCTGGTTAACCCTCCAGGGTAAAGACATCTCCACACACACACACACACACACACACACACACACGCCACTTCAGGACAGTAAGATTATATGTGAGCAGATGGACACCAGCGACAGCTTATCGTCTGCTGACATACAGCACAAATACATAGATTTACATTTCATTTTTATCAGGCAAACGCACACCGACTACCTGTGGTGGGCTGCTTGTATTTGGCAAAAATAGAAAATAAAGTTTTGGTTTATTTGTGCAATTTCACTGTGCAAACACAAGCGTTATTTATATACTATATAGTTTTAATTCATATTTTGAATTTATTTTATTTTTTATTATGATTTTATTTATTATTTTGAATTCATTCATTTATTTTTAGGTTTACAGTTTTCATTTTAATTTTAGTTACATTTTTAGAAAGTTTGTTGTGTGCTTTTGTCATTTTTATTCGTTTTTTGTTTTTTGATTACTATTTAGGTTTAATTTATTTTAGTTTTTATTTATTTCAATTTTCCAATTTATTTTCAGTAACTAATGCTTCAACTTAACCTTATTTCAGTTACTTCCCAAAGGAACATTGCTAATTTTTGTTTACGTTAAATTTTCATCTAATATATATATTTATATCTAATATTTATATTTAATAAATTATTTTATTATATTTTATTTTACTTCGGCATTACTAATTTTAGTCAATTTTTACTAATACATTTTTATCACATTTATGTGGAGACATTATGTGGAAAATAATGTGATTTTTGAACCTTAAACCGCATAAACACATTTCATTACACCAAATACACAAAATAATGTTCTTTTTAGCAACATCATATGACCCCTTTAATGCTTATTATGTGTCGTCTTATATCAGGGCATTTGAAGAACTATTGCACCACTAGAGGGAGACAAAATCAAAGCTATTGAGGTGAGTAAATCTGCAAGAGTTGATGAGAAGCTGTAATTAACAAAACACTGAGAATCTTCATTACAGCTGATCCTGGAGATGCACCATAGTACAGTGATGGTATCAGATGGAAACATAAATAAATAAATACTCATTTAAGAATTTGAACTAACATAATTTCATGAATTAGAATTATAATATTCAGTTTATAGGGTTTTTCCTGTCCTCTTTTGAAGTTTGTTAGTCCTTTATAAAATCCTTTTAGCTTTTTTTCATCATCCTGGAAGTGACATCATTTATTGGATGAATTCAACAGACATCAATAAGTATTATCAATGGATGTGATGCGTTCTGTGATGTTTTGTGAGGTTACTTGGTTTGTGTGTCTCTAAAACATTCATCCTGTTTCAAGGACTTCAAGTTGACGTCATCATGTTGCAGAGTTCAAAATACTGCAGCACAGGAATGAATTATCTGAGAAATGAATCTGCTTTCAAATGTAAAAGACTCTCAGAATGGTAAAGTGGTGCTGGGTAGCAGAAGAAGCTTCACTGCACAGTGTTTGTAGCTCATTGTGAGCTCATATGTAGGTCAGTGAGGAGCATGATGTCTGGATCAGCGTTTGCTGAGGAACCATCCAAACATTTCCACATAAAGAGACTAATTAGAGTCTCTATTTGGTAATTAGGTTGAATAGCTTCACACTGTGCCGTCGGTGCAAACATGAGATTGTTTCACTACGTTAGCAGCCGTCTGAAAAATGACTTTCAGATGAAGAGCTTCAGCTGTCTGTGTTTGAGGTCTGTAGATAAAAATAAGACCCTTACAAAAATATGCTATGGTAGAAATGTACTATAAATAAATGTTACGACAAAAGACCACAGTTATGGTGTCAAAGAGAAAGACCATGATACGATATATGCAATTCATCTATGGTACACCAAAGTACATTATGTGTGTTATAAAGTGCTTTGTTTTATGTGGTTTTTAATATTTATGAATACCGTTTATTAAATAATAATAATAAAATTATTTATATTTATTGTATTTAATTATTATTTTATTTATATTATTATTTTAATAAAATCAAAAGCAATAGAAAAACATTTATATGATTGCAAGTTTTTTGTTTTTTATTCCTATCAAAGACACAACATATGAATTACAGTCTACCAAAAATTGACCGTAGAGAATTTTTTTCAGATTTACCAAGAATAACAAATAAATATATGTTCTGAATACAATCATTTCTCTAGTCTTAAAGAATAATATTAAAAAGTGTTTGTACATATTCTGTATATTTTATTTATTTACAACATGTTTTTAATTACTGGATTTAAAAAATATATATTTTTGTGGAGTTTAAAATTAAAAGTGTTAGGCTATGTCTGGAAAATGTAAAAAATCTAATGAAAAAAGTAATTTTTTTTTAGTTCATAAAAAATTTTTTTTGGCAAAAGTTGTAGAATAGTCTTTTATTATTTCTTTTTAAAAATCAGACTGGCATACATGCATGGACCCATTTTGTTGTCATGTGATGGCATGCTTACCCATGTGACCCTTTAGACCCCCATGACCTTATCAAGTGTTTTTCATTATTAATAAAGCATTTTGATCTTTTTATAGAGTAACACTGAGAAACTTGAAATTCATGATTCATGAAAAGTTCATGATGATGATGACAATGATTACTATTATTTAAGATGAGTTCTCATGTATTCAAGATGCAAGGGAAGTTTAGTTACAATATTTTGAACTGAATGTTACATTAATACAAAGATGAAATTTTTTTCATGTCTTGCTTAAAGTTTATTATTATTTTATTATTATTTAGTAGTAGTTTCACTGTTAAACTGGTATTCTATTAACATTCTGGCAAGTTTTATATATTTTTTAATTTTATTTTTTTCTTTCGTTCTTTTCTCCCTCTGTTTCTGTGCGCACTGATGCTTTGGCAATATTATAACAAGCATGACAATAAAAGTACTTTAAAGCTGAATTGAGAGAGAGGGAGGTGGAGGGGTTTGGGTTGGTTAGGTTAGTAGGAGGGGGTAAGTTGAGTTCGGGACTGCAGACGTTCCGCTCCTCCGCTGGTATTCCAGGAATGTGTTGATCATGGCGGCCGCAGTGAAGCCCGTGAAGAGCGGACTGCTGGAGCTCCGCGTTACCGTGCACCACTGGATCCGTGTGCTCGCCTCTCTCAGCGAGGACTCGTTCACCGTGAGCCCCGGAGACACCGCCGATGAGTCCGCGAACAGCTGCTCGCCCGCGCCCGGAGGGGCTGTTAACGGGGATCCGGCGAACCTCAGCGCCTCCCCGGTACCGGACACCATCACGAACGTCAAACGAACCGTCCGAGTCACCAAACAAGAAGTTGGAGGACTCGGAATAAGTATTAAAGGTACGAGAACTCGTTCATATCGGTTATTAAAGTGTTCTTTGTTTACTTAAACTTATTCTTCGGGAAACAGTTACTTTGAAACTGAGGATCGGTTCAGTTATGAAGGTGGAGAAAAACTAATGAACAACTCATGAAGTCTATCTATCTATCTATCTATCTATCTATCTATCTATCTATCTGTCTGTCTGTCTGTCTGTCTGTCTGTCTGTCTGTCTGTCTGTCTGTCTGTCTGTCTGTCTGTCTGTCTGTCTGTCTGTCTGTCTGTCTGTCTGTCTGTCTGTCTGTCTGTCTGTCTGTCTGTCTGTCTGTCTGTCTGTCTGTCTGTCTGTCTGTCTGTCTGTCTGTCTGTCTGTCTGTCTGTCTGTCTGTCTGTCTGTCTGTCTGTCTGTCTGTCTGTCTGTCTGTCTGTCTGTCTGTCTGTCTGTCTGTCTCTCTCTCTCTCTCTCTATCTATCTATCTATCTATGTAGGCTTCTTGTGCTATGGTCTTTTTTTTTTAATTCTCGTGGTAAAGTTGTGGTACCAGATGGTAATATTGTGATACTCAAAACAATACCATGGTTTTATATGGGTTTTCCAAGAATAATGTGCTACTGTGTCCAAAATATCTAAAAACCCATGGTAGGCTACCTTTTTGGTATTTATTGCAATCTCATACCATCAGTGCATATGAAAATACTTTAGTATCATGGTATTATCATCTGGCACTTTACTGTACTATGGTATCTTTTGGGTTTCTAATTTTGTTTAGTATCTCAAAACTTTGACAGCTGTCAAATTACGTGACATATCAGTGAAGGCCTTGGAGAAACATCACTGCATTTGACTGCATGTTTCATTCATAATGATTTGCATGGATGTGGCACGTCGTTGGTCTGGTCCTGAGATTTACGGTTCGTGAATCACGCAGTATGTGTGTGTTCTCGGGGGGAGGAGGGCATTTGCACCCTAACGTTGACAGCTGACCGAAGAATTACCCATCATGCTCAGCCTGTCACTGGCTTCAGATGAAAGCTGTGGAACGAGAGCAGAGAAGAGTATGGTGCTGTTTATTTTAGGGAGCCAGAGAGGGACGACCTTGCCTTGAGTCCGAAGTGCAGTTGTACGTCTATATTTACTGTGGTACGAGTCTTTGGGCCTGAACGCTTTTGGAAACCCCTAGAAAACACACCTCTTTTCGGCTAAGAACTTTTTGCTTGGGTTTGTATTGTTTAAATTTGTCACTAGCCAGAAATTAAGTGACTAGAATTTGGTTACCCTATTGGATGTTGGATACGTCTAGTTTCATTTAGATATCATCCTCAAACTGTAACTGATTTTATTGCAGATATTTTGTCAAGTATGCATTGCATTCTCAGCATTGCCACAAGGGGCACTTTGGCCTAAATGATCAGATTTTTTGATTTCTAGAGATTTGAGGGCTAAAAAAACACCCACGACAAAGGATATCTAAGTTAAATAAGACATAATTCAACACTCAATAGCATAACCAAATTCTAGTTATTTAATTTCTGGCTAGTGACTTTAAAAGCTCCCTGCAGCTTTCCGCCAAAATAAAAGCAATCGTTAATTGAAATAAAATTAACGTTAACTGAAATTCGCAGGCAACATTATCATTTACTTTAACTTGATACACTAAAACTGAAATAAAAAAATATTATAATAAAGACTATATAGACATATAAAACAACTAATAAAAAAATAACAAAAATACACAACAAAATAACTTTAAAATAAAAATGGAAAATATAAAAATAAAATCAAATTCAAAATATTAATTAAAACTGTAATAGTATCTCATTCATACTAAAATAACACTGGTTTAACACCTGAACATTAAGAATTTAAGACATAAATATTGGTATTGTAATTTTACCATTATACTGTAAAAATACTGTTATTTTTCATAAATACTTGATTTTATATTTTACAGTTAAAGAGTTATTATTACAATAGTAATATTTCATTATATATGTTTGTGTGTGTGTGTGTGTGTATATATATATATATATATATATAATCACTTTTTAAATTGTGCAGTCCTACAATAAAGCACAGCAAACCTGGAGCTCTTTAAAAAATTGACTGCAATTTAAATCACAATTTTTATCAGAAAATATCAATAGCGTTTTAGAGAGATGTACACTGAGATCCAAAAGTCTGAGACACACACATTTTGGTTCAACATTACGCTCAAATTCTAATGCTGATGATATAATTTGTAATTAAAGTATTTGTGCTAAAATAGAAGCATTTCCTCTAGTGGACTCAAACTTTTGAACGCTGTATTTGCAGAAGAATGATGCAATCAGCGAAAGGTCGTTGCATTTTAGCATTAGTGTGTTTGTGCAGGACGTCCTGGCAGGGACTGCAGAGGGAAATGATTGATAATGTGCTGGAGCTCAAGCGGAGAGCCCCGAGGTTGCCAAAAGAATCTGGCAGGAGCCGAGCTACCAGCCGCATGCGCGTCGCATTTGTCTTGAAAGGTCAAAAGGTCACTAGACTAGAGGGTAATTACACAAGACCACTTCTGATACACGCTGATGATGATGGCGAGGAAGAAGCCATTGATGATTCCACTCATGAGCACGAACACACAGTCTGCGAGTCTCTTTAGAGCAGGGGTGTCAAACTCAGTTCCTGGAGGGCCGCAGCCCTGCATAGTTTAGTTCCAACCCTGCTCCAACACACATACCATGTAGTTTTCAAATAAGACTTAATGACTTGATTAGCTGGATCAGGTGTGTTTAATTAGGGTTGCATCTAAACTGTGCAGAGCTGTGGCCCTCCAGGAACTGAGTTTGACACCGCTGCTTTAGAGCGATATAAAACCTGGAACCACATATAAATGTTTTATGGTTTATACTCAAGGTGGTCATTTCACATGCCCTTGAATTTCTAGATGCGTGTTTAAAGCATAAGAGCCTTGGAGACCAGCGACACCAGCTCTCTGATCCTCATTGGAAATTTAATTCAGATGCTCGTCTCCTCCAAGAGAACGCCACAGACCGAACCATCATTCACTAAAGAAGATATATGTGTGTTGGTCTGAAATATTTGGAGCACACCTCAGCTCAAGGATGAAGACGATGAAATTTTGATTGGTATTAAAGCATTGCCCGTAAATCACATCAAAGAGCACATCTGTAGTCTAGATTTAGAGCTGGTTTCTGATGCAGTTGCTGTGTATTTAGCAGTACACGCTCATTACTTTTTAACTAGTTTCATTTTAAGAGAGTTTTTGTATGTGATTTATGTGATTTAGTCCCCTTTGTGTGATATTTTGATTTTCTGTGATATATATTGCGATATGAAAAAATAGAGAAATTTTCACCAGAGGTATTGAAGAGCTATATTTGGAAATATACAAATAAACCCTACAAAAAAGCACAGCAAATCTGGAGGTCTTTAATTGCATTTTTATTTCTTTCTTTCTTTTTTAATTGCATTTTAAATAACAATTTTTATAAGAAAATTGCAATGTTTTTGTTGTGGAGTGCATCTGCATAGGAAAAATATATATATATATGATTTAATATTAATATTTTATAGTGCAATAATTGCAATACTATTTATGTCTGAATTTGGGTTGCTTTTGTTGCGCAGCTCATCTGAAAATAAAAATAAATTTAAAAATCTGAAAAATTACTTTTTACTCTGAATACTTTTTATGTGAACCATCCTGTTAGATTTGAACAAAACTTAAAAACATTTCCATTCTTTTCACTATAAAACAATAATATAATTTTATTGTGATTAATATTAAATAAAAAATCTTCAACAAAATGAGAAATATTTTGCAATAATACCTTTGTGGAATGAAATAAAAACAATTAGCATTTAATAAAAATAATTTTATTTTTACAGCTGTAAAATTACAATACTAATATTTACATCTAAATTTCTTCATCTTCAAATGTTAAACCATCGACCATTTATTTTGGCTGCTTGCCAACAAATAAATATATGCACTGCCATTTTCAGAGTGAAGCGCGGAACTGTGTTCATTTAGACGTATGCAGCTCATGATACAGCGTTTCAGCGGCTCTAATATCAGTAAATGAACCAAGCCGCTCTGAGATGCTGAAACACTGTATCATGAGCACAATCTTCACTCTAAAACCGGAAGTGCATATATTTATTTAAATAAATCACAGTCTTCACAATTTGATTATTGCATTGAGCTGTATCACAATATCGGTTTCGATATATTGTGCAACCACAAATTTTACACTTGTAGTATTTTATTGTTCAACAGACCTGCACGAGATTGGAGAGAATAGTTAGAATGGGAACTGGTATCCTCAGTTGACTATGTTGACATGCATGAAGAATTTCATTTGCATAATTAATTATACACTGAAATTTAGGCTACATTGATCTTTAAACATGATCTTCATCTTTTCCAGAAAGAATCTGTCTGTCCTCCATGTTCTCTTTAGTCTCGATGGCCATTTTGAGTTTCTGCCTGAATGCTCGATTATCTTCTCCAGGTTTGGGGCGCCGTAGATACGTCCGTTTCTTCACCAGCTTCCGCATTCGGTAATACGGCGAAAGCTGGTGCGTGGGAATATCCTCAAGGAAAACTAGAACCAAAACGTCTTTCTGTTCATCGAAAAGTCTGAAGCTGGCCACCTGGATCTCATGCGAACACCAAATGCTCTTCAGGTAGTTGTGTGTGATCAGGCAGATGGTTTTGCGGCTTTTGTATATTGCGTCCATGATGTTGTCAATAATGGCCTTTCCTGGCTGGAAGTCTCGGTGATGAAGGCACAATCTCAAGCCATGTTGACCCTCAAGTTTGGGCACAAGTTCTTCCAGGACCCAAGGCTCCTCTTGAGCATTGTAGGAAATTAAGGCGTCGTATTGGAAATCCAGATGATTTGAGGTTCGCTTCCTCTTTTTGTCATTGAGGAAGGCTAAGAAGAGGTAGTACGCGTAGACCAGCTGCCATTTAAGAAAGTGGTAGATAAATGAAATGACTAGAGTGAGAATGACAATGGAAGAGCTGTAGATAAAGCAGATGCAGTCGTAATTCACATTGCAGGATTCAGTGTTGAAGGCCGCCAGACTCTTTCCGCTTAAAGAAAGGGGATAGCGACATTCGTACTTGTCCAGGTAAACCACCTGCGTCTTATTGTTCCTGGCGGCCCAGTCAATGAACCAAGCGTTACTACAGTCGCACGTAAAGCTGTTGTTTTGCAGGTGAAGCACTTTGAGTTGAGGAAGCGATTGGATGATTGTTTGGTTTATAAGTTGAAGATCATTCGTACTTGCTCGTAAGATCGTCAGATTGGAGAGATTTGCGTCGACTAAGAAGTCCAAAGACTGAAGGTGAGTCCGACCCAACGTAATTTTGTTTAGGCCTGATATTGGCTGGAAAAGCCTGGATGTCAAGGCATTCCTGTTCGCAAGATTATTACTTGCCAAATCCAAGAAAGTAAAATTGAGAGTGTAACTAAATGTGTCCACGTGTAAATTCTCTATATTAAGATTCCCAGCATAAAAGACTTGCAAGTTTTTGAGACCTTTCAGGAAGTTTGAGGGGATGTAGTTTAAGCCTCGACGCTGACTATTAATCTTCAAAACTCTCAGTTCACTTAACAGGATGAACGGTGGACTTTGTAGCTCCTCTTGACTCTCGTATGAGATGTAATTGCAACACACGTCTAAACTTCGTATGTTAGGCGTACCAGCGAACACAGCACGATTTCTTAGAGTTCTTTCTGTGATTTTGTTAGATCCGAGATACATGTCTGCTAAATTTATCAGGCCCGCAAAAGCATATGGATAGATATTTAATATTTGGTTATCTGCGAGATGCAAGGTCCGAAGGGAGTGTAAAGCTTTGAAAGAGTCGTTTTGGATGGCACTCAACTTATTGTTATTCAAATCCAAGTATTGTAAGTTTTGGGGGCCGTATGTAAAGGTGCCTCTGACCGTTAACATACGATTGCTGCTCAAAATGAACTCTTCGAGATTTCCTAAATCCTTAAATACACATGCCTTGATTGTCACAATTCGGTTCCTGTGCAAATAGAGTTGTCTTAACTGCGTCAGATTCGCAAAATCAGAGCAGTCAAGATTTTCAATGCTGTTGAGATGAAAGTCGAGGACCCGTAAGTTGGGAAGAACCTGAAGAGTGTCGTTCAGTTGCGTCAGAAGGTTCTTTTGTATTCGTAACTCCGTCAAGTTGACTAGATGTTTGAATGACGATTTATACATTCGCGATACTCTGTTGTTTTGTAGGTGCAAGTCATTCAGAAGTGCACATGGTCTAAACATGCGATCGGTAAGTACAGAAAGATTGTTGTCCTCCAAGTGGATACTCCTCAGACTAGAAGAACATGCCGTCTGTAAAAACGTATCCACCTTGAACCCCTTCAGACCATCCAGTACCATCCAGGTCACAGAAGCGAAACTCTGCATTATATAATCCAGTTGGTTCTCTTCAATGTGATTCCTACTGAGGTTGAGAGTCTTAACTGTGTTCAAGAACGCCTTGTCTAGAATAAACCAATCTGAAATATTGGAATGGAAACAGCTTGACAAGTCCAAGTACTCAAGACCAGGAAAGATGTTTTCCATCATCTTGAACACTGTCAAGGGATTCATCGACAGATCCAACTTTTTCAAACCAAAGAATGCTGATGGGATGTCTCTTGAGTTGAAAACTCTGAAGCCGTTCTTTCCCAAGTAAAGTTCTTCCAAATGCGGTGCTTAGAGAACAGGATGGAGTTTGGAAATGTGCTTTAACTTGTTATTGGTGAGGTTTACGAGTCTCAAATTCGAAAGTGTTGCAAATGACTGGTTTTCAATCGTCTCTAGGTAATTCGAGTCAAGTCTTAAATGAGACAGGTTTGTAAGACCGTTGAGCAGCTTTGTGGTCACGGTTTTTATTTTATTGTTGGACAGGTTGAGCTCTTCCAGGTTTGCCAGGTCACTCAGTGCATTGCTGTGTATTTCAGATATCCTGTTGTGAGATATGTTTAAAATGATCAGATTTGAAAGTCGGATGAAATCCCCTTCAACGATCTGATGGATGGCATTGTAGGAAATATCTAAATTGACGGTATTGTGTGGTAACGGAGAAGGTATCTTCCTGTAGCTCATCCTGCTACACAGTACCTTCAGATGGCCAGAGTATTCGAAGGGGAAATAAATCGTGCAGTTACTCAAAGAAAACCCATCAGTCAGGGTTATGAGGACACAACAGTTCAAAATGAAGAAAAACGCAGAACTTTGCCTCATTTTGATGTTTCCGCCCTTTATTTGCAGTGTGAAATTGATCTTCTCCGTAAGACTTTTTTTGTGTTTTAAAACACATGATTCTTTAACATTTTGATACTCTGTGTCTTCTGATTTACAAAAGCTATTATAGATTCAGGTAAGTGTGAAACTTTTGCATCAAAGTCAACAAAAAGACCGATTTGTTAATTCTCCTTAAAGGGGGTTTCTGTGGATTCTGTCTTTAAAAGTCTTAATTCGTCCTTCCATAAATTAAGGTCTGAAAAAGGTCTTAATCAGAGCAGAAAGTCTTACATTCATGAAGTTGCATTGAATGTTGCACGCATTGCACAAAATCTAGCGTAGCGTTAGTTCTGGCAGGTCACGTTAGTCAAGCTCGCATCAGCTGACTCTCAACCTATGGGAATACGACACCTATCTAAGCATTCATATATAAGGTCCCTCAGTATTATCAGCAGTTTTCGCATTGCTCAATAGCTAATTACCCTCCTCCATCCCCAACTCCTCCTCTGTCAGTCAGGATTCAGCCTTCTGATTCTCCTTTGAATCAGACTAATTCTAAAATGTGTACATAACATTATTGAACTTTAATGATATCTGCAATACATTTATGTTGGTTCTGTTCTGTTTACCCTGCGGGGGGTTATCGCTGCTCTCCCTGCTCTCATCCATGCTAGGCTGCATGGATGCGCAGGGAGTTCTTGCCCAGAACAGAACCATACCGCCAATCCAAACTGTATGCTAATTGTCAATCATCTTTGACGATAGTGGTCCTGACAGAATTAACATCTCTCCATTTTTTCCTCTTGTTTTCCAATACAAAGTTTTAAAAATCCTTAAATCAAGGTACATTTACTTGAGATGCAAAATGAAGATGTGAAGTCTTGTTTTCTGAGAAATAATAATTAAAAAAAAAAATGGTGTTCCTTATATTTAATAAGCCAAAATTTTAACCAAAGTTATTTGGTCTTAAGGTCTTTAAAAAGTCCTAAATGTAACTTCATAAAACCTACAGAAACCCTGTAATATCTTATGTTTAATTTGCAATTAAAGACAAATGCATTTGGATTTATTGCAAACTACTTTTATGTAAACATGCAAACTCCAATTTTATACATTTTTTGCATTATCTCCACATTATCAGACCGAAATATTTGTTTTTGTGCAATTAAATTGGCATACCCGATCTTAACAGCCACTAGTTTGATCTAGTTATCAGTATTACAAATATAAGAAAGAGATCCCTACCTTGTTTGTCTATATTTCTCAGCAGCAGCATGACATGCATCCCAGCTTATCAGAGATCTATAACCAGTTTGAAAGAAGCACCTATTTGAGTAGTTCCCTCTGTTTTTATGCTGAAAATTGAAGGATGTGACGACACTGCTGTACTATCTGCTGGTTTTCATCTTCATCAGCACATGATTAAAAAAAGACGTGTAAGTCGACAGAGGAGTTCGCACTGAGTTAAGAGAGGCAGTATGTCTAAAAGTAAAAACTTGGAGAAGTTTATCAACAATAGAAAAAACGTATTACCAAATGTGATCTGGACCACAAAAGCAGTCTTAAGTGTCAATTTTCCCAATCTGAAAGCTGAATAAATAAGTTTTCCATTGATGTATGGTTTGTTAGGATAGGACAATATTTGGCTGAGATACAACTATTTTGAAAATCTGGAATCTGAGTGTGCAAAAAAATCCAAAGAAAAATCTATCATTTTGACCCATACAATGTATTTTTGGCTATTGCTACAAATATCTCCGTGCAACTTAAGACTGGTTTTGTGCTCCAGAGTCACAAATAAATCTTTTGAATTGCACATCACATATTTTTTTCATGATATGATGTTTTCAGTTAGCTAAGCATGCATTCACCTGTCTTTTACCACATGTGTAAATGATTGTTGTCTTACAGGTGGTAAGGAGAATAAGATGCCCATCCTGATCTCAAAGATCTTCAAAGGACTGGCGGCGGACCAGACGGAGGCTCTTTACGTGGGCGATGCGATTCTGTCCGTCAACAGCTACGACCTCAGAGAGGCCACTCATGATGAGGCTGTTCAGGCCCTGAAGAAAACCGGCAAAGAGGTCATTCTGGAAGGTAAGACGGAGCGGATTGTTTGGCTTCAAGGAATAGTTCAGCCAAAAATGAATTTTTTTTACTGTTTTTGGTCCTTGAAACACAAAAGGTGAATTTTTATGTTAATATCCTGATCCTTCTTTGGTAACACTTTATAATAACTATCATTACAAACATTATATGATGCTTAACAGATCATTAGTTAATATATATTCACATAGCCAGACATGAGATAAATGTGACCCTGGAGCACAAAACCAGTCATAAGTGTAAATTTTTTTAAATTGAGATTTATAAATCAGCTGAATAAATAAGCTTTCCATTGATGTATGGTTTGTTATGATAGGACAATATTTGGCCGAGATACAACTATTTGAAAATCTGGAATCTGAGGGTGCAAAAAAATCTAAATATTGAGAAAATCATCTTTAAAGTTGTCCAAATGAAGTTCTTAGCAATGCATATTACTAATCAAAAATTAAGTTTTGATATATTTACGGTTGGAAATTTACAAAATATCTTCATGGAACATGATCTTTACTTAATATCCTAATGATTTTTGGCATAAAAGAAAGAACAATAATTTTTACCCATACAATGTTTTTTTGGCTATTGCTACAAATACACCCCAGCGACTTAACACTGCTTTTGTGCTCCAGGGTCACAAATAATGTGCCTGTTAATGTTTACTAATTAACTTATTAAATATTACCTAATGATTAACAGAATCATTATTTAATGCAAACTGAAATGCTTATAAATGTGATCATGCACTTTTTTGAAAATCTACAGATGATTTTAACAGAATTTAAAATTGAGACTATTCATCTTTTGTAAATGTTTACAAATGTTTACTAATCTTTTAGTATCTTTATGTGCATTGGACTTTTAACTGCTTCAGTTAGTATAAAGTGTTACCCATTCTTTTACATATAAGAGTGAATGAAAACTTGGGCTGTCAAGCTCGGAAAAGACAAACAACATGCATATTTCTCTTCTGAAGTCATGCAATACGTTAGTGCGAGGAACAGATTAAATTTAACACATTATTCGCTGGAAATCATGAAGGATCAAACCTACTGTAACTCTCCTGAGCATCTGAATCATGAACAAATGGTTCTTTTGAGTCTGATTGTTAACTAAAACCATTTAAAAATAATATTTTCATTACTTGTATAATTCAATAATACAATAATTCAGTAATCAAACAGTATAAAATAATAACAAGTCTTATTGTATTATCTTGTGCAGATTTTCTTAGATAGTAAATCTATCTGTTTTTAAGGATGTTTAGGTTATTTTAAATGGACGACAAAGCAAAAAATATTGATTAATAACATGATTGTTTTGCAGTGTATTTATCATTCTTGTGCATTCTTGTACAGTTTTATTGTACAAACCTGAACTGAAATCAAATAAAATTTACATAAAAAAAACCCTTGTTTTATTTCAGCTAGTTGCCAAGGCAACATTTCTCATTTTCGTTTAGTTTAACTTGAAGTCTTAAAATAACTAAAAATTAACTAAATAAATAAAACTAATAAATGAAATTTAATAAAAACCATATAGACATATTAAAAAAAAACTAATAAAAACAAAATTACTTAAACATGAACTAAAATTAAAGTGCAAAAAAACAAAAAAAAATCAAATTTAAAATAGTAATGTTACGTCATAGATCAGCTACATACGTGGGATATTTGTAGTTTTATAGCTGTTTTTCATTAAGATTAAATGCAGACTAAATTGTACAGTCAACATCCACGTTTACAACTTATTTAGTTTAATGAAAACTGGCTTCCACTCTTATACTTTAAATGACAATATGAATTCTGACAGGACTTACAGGCAGTATATTAGGTGGATATTAAAGAAGAAAACAATATCATACTTTGTAGATGTCTGATATCATTTTTGTCTTTAATTCTCACATTGAGAGAGTCGCAACAGGAATGTTTGGAAGCATGAAAACTCCTGTCAGCCGCTGCAGCTTTTCCCACCATGCATGGGTACAAAAGTCTTGATTTTTCAGAGGCTCATCACACACACACACACACACACACACACACACACACACATGAGCAGCTCAGACTCTTGCAGTGGTTTCTATCTCAGGGATTTACTCTCTTCTGCTTGGTGAGTTTCTATGATCCAGTAATGGAGTGTGCTTGGTTCCCGCTCGACTTCTGCCTCGTTCTGCTCTCCTCCATCTCTCACACATTAGCCATTACATCTGAGGCATTAAGTCCTGTTTGATTCGTTTCGTACTGGATCATATGTGGAGAGTAATCTCTCAGACACACACACGTTGAACTTAAGCTGGGGGTCTGATCACATGCGCCGGCCCTGTTGTGTTTATTTTCTCTGGCACCTTTTGTCTCACACGTTTCTTCTAAACGTATCGTTCTTGTTGAGAGTTGGTGGATCTTCTCCTGTTTGTGGTTTGTGACCTTCAGCTGCTCCTTATTTATTGACTAAAATTAATCATTCATGGGAGAATCAGTGCGTTTGAGTTCGTGTCTAGCTGAGAAAGATTCAGTGAAGGATCCTTTCTGTGCAGAATCATTGTGAAACTTCTGCAGTCTCTCACATAAACGCGTCATCCAGCCTGATTTAAAGACGAACGTTAACAGAATGCTTCTGAGTCCACAAGTTAACACTGTGTCCAAACCAGACGTGACACAACATGTTTCCAGTGTCAAGTCATGTTTTTGCTCCTCACTAAAAAATGTTTAATGCTGCTTGCATGTCAAAATCACAGCCAATAAGAATGTTTCATATTTAATTTCATACTGCATATATAATTTTCACACTATGTTATCATGCCAAAAGTCTATTTGTTGAATATTAAACACAAGAAAATATAATAATGTTCAAATGTGTGGGGTCAGAAATTAATACTTCTATTCAGCAAGGATGCATCAAAAATGACAGTAAAGACTTTTATAATGTTACAAAAGATTTCTATTTCAAATAAATGCTGTTCTTTTCCATGTTCTATTCATCAAAGAATCCTGGAACAAAATATATCAAAATACATAGCAACTGTTTTCAACATTGATAATAATCAGAAATGTTTCTTGAGCAGCAAATCAGCATATTAGACTGATTTCTGAAGATCATGTGACACTGAAGACTGGAGTAATGATGCTGAAAATTCAGCTTTGATCGCAGAAATAAATTATATTTTAAAATATGTTACAATAGAAAACAATTATTTTGAATTGTAAAAATATTTGATGTATTTTTGATCAAATAAATGCAGCCTGACAGTAAAGACTTTTATAATGTTACAAAAGATTTCTATTTCAAATAAATGCTGTTCTTTTCCATGTTCTATTCATCAAAGAATCCTGGAACAAAATATATCAAAATACATAGCAACTGTTTTCAACATTGATAATAATCAGAAATGTTTCTTGA